GGTTTAAACTGGCCCCGCTCCGGGTGCCCTTATACAGGTGAGCGACCTCAGGGCCATCATGGCCCTCTTGTTAATGCATTATTGGCTATCCTCAAATAAACTGTCTATCGTCAGATTCTCTTCAAAAAAGGTAATGACATTCACCACTAGAGTTTATAATAACATACAATTTACCAATAATACTTTTACTTTGCTATTTGTATTGGTGTATTATTCCTGGCTAGCAGTACTCTTGCATGTATCTGGAGACATTCATCCGAATCCTGGTCCAATCTCAGATACTTCTTCAATTTCATACATGATCTCTACTCCATCGGAAATTAATCATATTCAAAACCATCTTTCTTTCATACATTTAAATGTTCAGAGTATTGAACATAAACTCGATATTCTTTTTTAAGAACTCTGCGATTTTGATATTCTTGCTTTCTCCGAAACTTGGCTCAAAAGTTCTGTCTCAACAGACGACTAATTACTTTCCTCGTATCATTCCCCCGAACGCAAAGATCGCATTGGGGATGCTCACGGTGGTGTTGTTTTGTACATTAAAGACAATATACACTACAAACGTAGAACAGATCTAGAATTAAACAGGTTATAATGTATTTGGATCAAGTTGATTCTTTGTTACAATCGTCATATTCTATTTAGTATCTTCTATCGCCGGCCTAACTCAGATGTCATATACAATAATCTAATTAAATATTCTATTGGTCTCGCTATTGACACTAATATACCTGACATCATCATTACGAGTGATTTCAATCTAAATGTAAGCTGTTATTCATTAAACCGCAAAATTACAACCATCACTCAACAATTCAATCTAGAACAACTAATTGATGAACCAACACATTGCACTGAACATTCAAATTCCTTGATCGACCTTATATTAGTTACAACTAAAAACAATGTTATTCACTCTGGTGTTGGTGATCACTTTCTAGAACAAGAACTACGGTACCACATTCCTATATTTGGTTTTCTGAAATTCCGTAAACCGCGACAAATGTGTTTTGACCGCATTGTATGGGAATATGAACATGCTGACGTGAAGATATAAATACCTTTACATGGGAAAACTGCTTTGATGCAGATGTTAACATATATGCGATTAACGTAATCGATCAGATACAAACAATTGCTAAAAATAACATCCCTAACAAATAGATTAAAGTAAGATCATTAGATGTTCTATGGATGACAAATCCAATCAGAGTTTACATCCGTAAACGAAAACGTCTGTATAAAAAAAGGCTAGAATGACAAATTCACAATATTACTGGCAAAGATTCAAATCCATTCGTAATGAAACAATATTATTGATACGGGAAGCCAAGTCAAACTATTTTTGTAAACTATCAAATAAATTGAAAAATGAATCACTTTCGTCCAAAGACTGGTGGAAGACTCTGAAATCTTTTATTTCATCAACGAATAATAGTAGCATTCCACCACTGACAGATCCCTTAAACAGAAATATTGTTTACTCAAATAACGATAAGGCAAATCTTCTGAATAACTTCTTCGTAGAACAAATGTCTATTTACGATGAGAACAGAGATCCACCTTACCTTAGTTCGCAACATTCCTGTCTCAATGATATTGTGCTAAGCCCTCATGAAGTAAAAGATGTTCTTCTTTCGTTACAAGTTGAGAAAGCAGTAGGTCCAGATGGTATAAGTAATAGAATTTTACGCGAGGCTTCTCATGAACTATCTTTCCCCTTGTGTGACTTATTCAATGCTTCTCTACGAAGTTGTGAAGTTCCAATCACATGGAAAGAGGCAAATGTCACTGCAGTTCATAAAAAGGGCGATACATCTCTCCTAAATAACTACAGACCCATATCACTTTTGAACGCTACAGAAAAAGTATTTGAGCGACTTGTATTTAAACACATCTTTAACTTTCTCAAAGTAAATAATTTTCTGTCTACTGCTCAGTCTGGTTTTATCCCTGGTGATTCTACAGTTAATCAGCTGGCCTTCAGTTATGATACCCTTTGTAGATCACTTGACAATGGCCTTGAAGTTCGTGTGGTTTTCTTTGATATCAGTAAAGCGTTTGACAAGGTTTGGCACAAATGCCTCCTTTCGAAACTAAAGCACGCAGGTATATCTGGATCTTTGTTATCTTGGTTTAATAAATACCTTACTAATAGAAAGCAAAGGGTCATACTACCTGGCGCCTACTTATCATGGGCTTTTGTCAAAGCAGGAGTCCCTCAAGGCTCTATACTTGGTCCCCTATTATTTTTGATCTTTATAAATGATTTTGTTAATGAAATTGAATCTTTCATAAACCTCTTTGCTGATGATACCAGTCTTAATGTTATAGTTGATCATCCTAACACAGCAGTCACACTTCTTCAGTCTGACATCCAAAAAATCTCTTTATGGGCAGAAAGGTGGTTAGTCACCTTCAATCCTTCAAAATCGGAATCCCTACTTGTAACCAGAAAGCGCAATCGTCAGCATCACCCTTCATTGCATATGTTTAACCAACAAATTCCAGAAGTTTCTGAACACAAACATTTAGGCATCTTTCTTTCTTCTGACTGCACATGGCACAAACATATTGAATACATAACTGATAAAGCTTGGAAAAGGGTTGATATAATGTGTAAACTGAAATTCTCTCTGGGTCGTAAATCTTTGGAAATTATCTATATAGGATTCATTAGACCTATTTTGGAATACGGTGATGTAATTTGGTGTAGTTGTACCCAATATGAACTCGAAAAGCTTGATAAGATTCAGAATGAATGTGCACGCATTTCAACTGGTGCAACCAAGCTTATCTCACTAGAAACTCTGCAGAAAGAAATTAATTGGGAATCGTTATCCGTTTTTGAAAAACATTTCTCTTACCCTTTTGTGTAATTGTGTGCAAATTGAAACTACCCAACATTTCTTTTTCGAGTGCTGTGCATACGATGCCGTCCGCAGAACACTCCTCATTAACTTGCAAGACTTCAGCATAAACCTTCATAAACTTCTCTATGGTGACCCATCTCTTACATACCAGGACAACGTTATTATATTTACAAATGTACAAAATTATATAGAAAAAATGAAAAGATTTACTTAGATCCATTCTTATTGATACTATAATCCTCTCTCACCTTCTTTCTTCTCTTTCCCACTGCATGTTTTTTGTTTTCTTCTTTTATATATATTCTTAATTTTAGCCATCTACTTGTAGTTAATCTATTCTATATCAGTTTATATATAAATGTTATATGTGTGTATAATTAATACTTAATCCCTTGTCTAGTATATATTAACTATAAACTTATTTAAGACAAACCATATAGTTGGCCAAAGGAAAAGAATTCTATAAGACTTGTCTTTCATTCTCATCCTTTTCCATTGTGTAAAAATGTTGTGTTTGTTATATATTTATAAGTACATTTTATATACTTTCGGGAATAAATATGTTTAAACTTAAAGATTTCTAAATATTTTACTATAATATAGATTAGGAATCACATGTTCCCCGGTGCTTGGCCAATTTTTACCCTAGGGCTATAGTTTGAGCAATCACAATTGTACTATTTCGCCAGCATTTGATTAAGCATACTTATTGGTGAAATATAAACATGCATATTGTTATTTTTCTTTTATTTTAAAACGATATATTTCAATAATAAGTAATTCAGTACCATTACTTAAGTAAGTAACCGAAGCAATACATGTATGTGATGTGTTATAAAGAGCTAAATTACGTCATTTAGACGTTACGTCGCATAACACTAATAGGAACGAATAACGTGCAATTAAGGTCTGAGAAGAAATTTTGACATTGGAAACAGTAGATGATCTCTGAAACCACAAGGCATTGAATTTTGATATTTAGTGTGTATTATCGTTTAGTGGACTTTTATAAAATATTTTAACATCATGGCTATTGACCTCGTCCCTGTGATCATTCATTTCATATAGATTTATGTGGGAAATAAATAAAATATCCTAGTAGAACATATATTGTAAATTGTAATATGACTTAAGGGACCTTTACCATTATGTCATAGGGAATAAAGTACTTAAGTATATTTGTTTTTATTTCAGGTATATCAATACATTACCTGAATAGCAGACATTCAATTTATTTACTGTGTTTTTTAAATCATGTTTGTCGGTTAATTAACGTATAGTATAATTTACGACACCTGGATGAAGTAGTCAGATGAAATAACAAATAATGTTGTAAATGTCCAAAAATATGATACTTTTTTACTGTTATTACTTTAACAACGAAAGAAATGTTGGAGGAAAATATATGCTTTACTAAGACAGCACACTGCATGTCTTGTTATTTTATGAAGACAAAGACAAAATTTTTAACAGAAGAGAAAGCTTTATTTAAAACGTTGCAAACGCATTGGTTACATGCTATACAATCATATTCACAAAAGCATAAGTCAATGGCTGTCTTTTATCATATTCTAAATTTTCCGTAACTAATTACTTTAATCAAGTTAAGTTATGACATAATAAGTGCTGAAGGCAATATTTTTACTTTAACAAGCATAGTCAGCATCTTTCTTCTTATGAGCATATTCAACTTTACACATGCTATTTTTAATAATATTCAAAATATAGTATTTTAAAGCAAAAGTATCGTTTGCATTAAAACTGAAGACGGAGTCTATTTCTTTTAACTTGATATTAAAGCAAAGTTTTCACAGAAATATACAAATATACAAAAAAAATATTAGACTTAAGAAAAGTAAATAACTTTCACCGCTAGGAAAAATAAAGCTACACATTTTCATGCGTTACATTTAAATGTTTTCTTTCTTAAGCCGGGAATATGGCGGGGGATGGGGGGGGGGGCGGTACGTGGACGGTAGCTTATACATTGTATTTACCATTACCATCCATGAACATGCACAGTCAAACCGAGCTTGCAACTTTTCAATTTTGCCATTATGGGCCTTCTTTTTGACCACTTTAACGCATGCTGTTTCAATTATCACTATGTTTTAAACACAATAAGACATATAATTTAAATTAAAGTATTAAAAACATCGTTCCAAGCAACGATTTCCTTTTTCACACATACACAGGCTAGTAAAAACGGATAAATTATAGATAACAACTTTGCTTTTTTTAACTTGCTACTTATTATGTTACCGAGACAAAATGGAACTATATGTGTTTATTAAACCATGAAGACATTCATACTCCTACACAGCGTCTAGCCAGATTGAATAATTCAGTGTAAATACTTATTATTTCACTTCTAAATCGTAAGTCAAAGAATCCATAAACAAAACTGTTGATCGTGTTATTGATAAAGAAACACCAAATGAATGTATTGTAAACTACCTTCCCTGTATATGATAGTTGAGAAACAAAATCTTTGTTAGTAAAGGTAACTAATTTCAATGCAAGATGGGGAAAATAACTGATAAAAAACACGGCTGTGATTACCAGAAAAATGACGGTAGTTTTTCTTGACCTTTCTTGCTTTCGCTTGTTCTTTGCCTTTTCGCTATTTGACACTTCATTACTGTTTTCAATCATAAAGATCTCAATTTTCATAGTTGTGTCTTCATTTGTAGTATTTTCCGATAAGGCGTCTGGGTCTGGAAATTCATTTATTGTATCGTTAGGAATGCCTTCCTCTTTATACAACGACCTTTGTGGTCGTTCATTAATTTTTGGTTGATTCAGTCTACTTTGTTTGACAATAGCCCGCCATGTTAATGTGTACAACACAACAAGAACAAAAAAGCAGATCATTACAACTAGAATCAGTAATCCGTTGAAGAAGCCTTGATATGTATCATAAAGTTCTTTATCTTCTGTGTAACACCTTGTACCTGTTATGTTTGGATCTGACGTGTTAACAGTGGCAATCCCGTATAGTACGGGCGCCGGCCATGATATTAGTACAGCAACAAAGATGACTATTAGGCACAACACTTTTGCCATTTGTCTGGATATCTGTCGTCCTAACGGAACACATATCTTCCGATACCTGAAAGCAAAAAATTCTGTCACAGGTAGAATATTTATTACAACTTCTAGTCTGTAGAAATTTGATAAAAGAAAAAGAAATGTAAATCCCTTTAATACAACGTATAACACAATTTAACAAATCAAAACACTTTACAAAATATCACAAAATATATACATAGTTAAATTGTCTTAAGGTAGCACATCTCTAATGGACATCATTTCAAACTTGTTTTTGCATATTATTTTCATAATCTGTACCATTTAACTGACTTATCTTCAAATTTTAGGACCATCTTTCCATGTAAATTAAAAAAATATTTATAATTTTTTATCACCCCCCGTATTTTGTAAATATTTTAGTTTTGTTTTACCTGTATGGTAGGTAAAATTGTCATTTCTTACTCAAAAATGTTGGTTTAAACAATATTTATTTCTTCATCATTATTTACAGACAATATTACAATATATAAATTTCATTCAGGATGTAGTAGAAAGCTTGGAGCTTATATGAAACTCTCTCCTGTAAAAAAAACATATCTACAATTCATTTTAGTAACAACATGACATAGCAAAAGGTCATTGTACCTGCATTTAATTCCTTCCATACATTACAAGAAGATAATAGATACCTACTACTTTGTAAAGGATTATAAAGAGGAGCTGAACATGTCAAGTGTGTGTAATGCGATGCCTGTATCAAATTTAAATAGTTTCTCGACATGGGGGAAGGGGGAGATAAATAGACAAAAGAAGGAAAAAAAAGAGATTAGAATAGAGACAAAAAGTGGGGGTAAAGCGGGGGGGGGGGGGGGTCACTGTAATATAATGGAAAGTGTAGGTCCTATTTAAGAATATTACTAGAATTATTTTATTTTTTTATTATTATACCAAGTATTGACACTTTAAATGATTTCTTTATAAGTAATGTAGTAATAAGTTTTCCTAGTGACAATATGCTATAATTAGTATAGCATATAATAAGGAAACACATAAGACAGAGGCTATAAGAAGCAAGATAAGGTAACTCTTACGAAACGAAACGAAGAGCGCCCTTACTTGCGTAATACCTTGTGAGTTTATTACAAAGTATCTTAAACACATAGATAAAACAAGATAATCCAGATGCCATATTCAATTAACATTTCAAGTTCATATATATGACTTGTTATTTAAAGCGTCTGCATGCATACTCCAGTGCATTGTTACCATAATGAAAGAAAATTAATTTTGCAAAACTATAATTCAGATCGGTTGGAAACAGTTGCCCCTGACTGCTTTCTCGTGGACCTGAACTCAACCAGAGCACGAACTGGGACCTAGAAGCTCCAATAAGGTCTTCCTGCGACGACACGCGTCCCAGTTCGTGCAAGGTGTACTCCTGAACCTCGACCCTCATGTGGTGGTCGGGATCCAGGAGTACCACCGACATCACGATAACCTCTATGCACAGGTGTCAGAGGCAACAGTTACCCCCATCTTTAGTACTAAGTTAAATAATAATAATAATAATGATAATAATAATAATAATAATAATAATAATAATAATAATAATAATAATAGAAAGGAGAATAGAAGGATAAAAGACATTATTTTAATAAACCTTTTCGTCTTCTGAATGTACTTTTGAACATGTAAGAATATATATGTGTTTGATTCATATGAGAGATTGGCATCACCGAATAGGAGTATAGATAGGTTGTCTGTTGTAAAATTTCGTAAATTGTCAAGAAGTTCAGCACGCTGTGCATTAAAGCGTGGACACCTAAAGAAGTAATGACACGTGTCTTCGATTTCCCCACATTCGCAGAGAGGACTGTCTATAATATTTTTTGAAAATAAATGCTCCTTTAGTGAACTACAATGGGTTCTTAGTCGTGTGTGATATACTTGATCAGTTCTCGAGCCAATATAATAGTACTTCGGGATCTTTTGTGAATTTGAGTTTAACTTGCTTTTAAAAATACTTAAGGATGAAGAACTTCTAGGGGGCGTGGACGGTAACTTGCACTTTCCAGTACCGTCCATGAACAGGCTCAATCAAACCGAGCCTGCAACATTTTCAATTTTGCCGTGTTTAGGGATTCTGTATTTATCTATTCTATAGTCATTTGGGAGTTGATTCCATTCAGAGACAGTAAGTGGAAGAAAAGAATTTGAATTAAGTTGGGTGTTGCAGTGTATAGTTCTAGAATTGGCAGAATTGCGGAGATTATATGTAGTAGTATCGCCAACATTATCAGGGACTAAATTGGATAAGTACGACGGAGTTATGTTGTTTTTCATCTTATAAAATAAAGTAAGTCTATGATTTTTTCTTCTGATTTTAAGCGGTTCAAATCCAGTTTCTGTGTATAAGTTTGAGATAGAAACAAGTTTAGTGGCCCCAGTGATAATTCTACAAGCTTCAAGCTGTATTTTCTCAATTTCATATTCCTGATGTATTGTTATGTTGTCCCATACGACATCTGAGTATTCAAGAAGTGGTCTTATAAACGTAATATATATGATTTCTAGAGATTTTCTATCAAGAATAAATTTTAATTTTCTCATGACGTTGATTCGTTGCCATGCTTTTTGTGTCGCCTTGAAAAAGGCGACATATAGGGATTACTTTTGTCGGCGGCGTCGTCGTCGTTGTCGGCGTCGTTGTCGGTGTCGGCGTCGGCGTCCCCTTAAGCTTGTCCGGAGCATAAGTCAGTCATTATAAGTTGGATTGACTTCAAACTTGGTATGCATGCTATTTATAATGACCGGAAGTGCAGTGCATAAGAACCGATACTCTGCACTTCCTATTTTTTGAGTTATTGCCCTTTGTTAAATTTCATACTTCATTTTTGTCCGGGCCATTACTCCTTAAGTATAAAAGCTAAGGACTTGAAACTTCATAGGATGATAGTTCTCATTAAGAAGAAGTGCAGTGCACAAGAACTGGTACTCTGCATTTCTTATTTTTTGAGTTATTGCCCTTTGTTAATTTTCATACTTTATTTTTGTCCGGACCATTTCTCCTAAAGTATAAAAGCTATGGACTTGAAACTTCATAGGATGATAGATCTCATTAAGAAAAAGTGCAGTGCACAAGAACTGGTACTCTGCATTTCTTATTTTTTGAGTTATTGCCCTTTGTTAATTTTCATACTTTATTTTTGTCAGGGCCATTTCTCAATAATTATAAAAGCTTTAGATATGAAACTTAATAGGATGATAGATCTTATTGATAAGAAGTGCCGTGCACAGAAACTGCTGCTCTGCATTTCTTATTTTTTGAGTTATTGCCCTTTGTTGATTTTCAAATTTCATTTGTTTTGTCCTCGCCATTTCTCCTAAACTACATTGTTCACAAGGCGACACATCCGACTCGCGGAGTTCTAGTTCTTTGATAGTGTCAATATGATGATTCCAAGTGCCGTCATTTGAAAAAGTAACACCAAGATGTTTGTGAATTATGACTTCCGATATTTGAGTACCATTCACTTCTAAAGGGGGATGGATAGGCTTAGTAACTTTTCGAGAAATTAATAATGATTCAGTTTTATTTGGGTTGAATGTAACCAGCCATTTATTTGCCCAATTAGTGACTTTATCCAGATCATTGTTCAAAATATTCGCAGCTGTTATCGGATTTTCAACAATTATATACAAGCTTGTATCATCAGCAAATAGTCTAATAGTGGAATTTATATCACAAACAATATCATTGATATAGACAAGAAAAAGAAGAGGACCAAGTATGGAACCTTGTTGAACGCCAGAAGAAATATTGATAATATCTGACATGGCTCCAGGAAGTACGACTCTCTGTTTCCTCTCTGACAAATAATCACAGAACCAATCAAGTAATTGATCTGCTACACCAGTCAACTTAAGTTTATACAATAGACCTCGATGCCATACACGATCAAACGCCTTAGAAATATCACAGAAGACGGCACGAACTTCTTTACCAACATCAAGAGCTTGACAGAATGTGTTATAAATAGATACGAGCTGGTTTGAAGTAGAATCATTAGGTACAAAACCAGATTGTAAAGAGGTTATAGAGTTGTTTGAAACAAAGAAATTAAATACATGTCTGTGTATAATTTTTTCTAAAAACCTTGCTGATAGTGCTAAGAAAAGATATTGGCCTATAGTTTGATACATCTTGAGGGTCATTCTTTTTAAATACTGCACAAACATGTGCTAACTTCCACTGAGAAGGTATTTTTCCAATAGATAATAAACAATTAAAAAGATTACAAAGAGGATTTGCTAATTCTTCAGCAAGTTCTTTTAGTATTTTGTTGTTGACGGTATCTGGCCCAGACGCTTTACCTAATGTTAGAGATTTTTAATATTAGAGTTACTTCATCTATGGTGATAATGATGTGACTAAGTTTAGGATTATCAGGATTGTTTTGAATGTGTGGAAGGTCTTTGTTGTTATCATTTAGCTCGGTTTGAGTTTGAAAAAAGTTATTTAGAAGGTTAGCCTTGTCAATATCTGATGTAATAGGAGTACCATTATCAATAAGCGTGCTTATTCCAGTGTTATGTGATGATGGTGTAATACATGTAAATTGTTTAAGTAGTTTCCAATAGTCAGATTAGTTTATATTTTCATTTTTTATTTTCTCTGCAAGTTTTATCGTATAATTTTGTTTGGCATTTCTTAGAAGTTCAGTAGTTTTATTTCTTAATTGTTTGTATATGTCCCAGTGATGTTCTTGTTGTGTTCTTTTTGCTCTGTCATATGCTCTTTTACGCTTTCTCATGAATTTTCTTAGATCATTGTGCATCCAGGTGGGTCAGAATGCCGAACTGTAATTGATTTATGAGGAATATGTTTTTCTGAGAGTTTTAAAGATTTTATCAGTTACATTTGAAGCGTAAATGTAGATATCTTCGTGGAAGAGAGAGTTCCAATTAAAAGTACACACATCAATTTTAAAATTATTATAATCCCCCTGATCGAATTTCCAAATAGATCTTTTGAAGCATTTTCGATGGGGTATAGAAGCTTTTAAACAGCAGTACATAGGACAGTGATCCCTTACATTTTGGGCAAGAAACGGTTCACCTACACCAATCACCTCGCATGTCGATGATACAAGAAAGATATCAATAAGAGACTGAGAAGATTCAGTAAAGTGTGTTGGCTCATTGATAACTTGTGTCATGTTATATTGTGAAGCTATACTATTTATTTTTGTGCTTGTGGAAGACTTAAGCATATCTAAATTTAAGTCACCCGTGATCAATATATTTTCAATACTAGTATCAAATGCTAACCCTATAGAATTTTCAATATTTGTCATAATAAGTGAAGAAGAGTTTGGCGGTCTGTAAAATGTGCCAAAAAGGACTTTTTTGTTTTGTAAGAGAAGTTCAATCCATATACATTCAACCCCTTGAATTTCTAAGTCCGTCCTTCTGTGAACTGGAATGTGGTTTTTAACATAAACAAGTACACAAAAAATGTGTTATTACCACCAAAATTAGTAAAAAAACAATACAATATAATAACAAACTCCACAGCGAATATTAAGTTGAATGAAAGATATTAGTAAAAAAGCTAAATTTACATCTGCTTTTATTAGTAGTGAAGCAGGATGATGTATTTATCGTGATGATGTTGGTTTGTTGAATGCTGAATACATAGATTTGCCTTCAGAAGTTTTGAAATGGTGATACATACATCTGCCTTCGGTGCGGGTGGGTGAATTCCTTCAGTGGCAGGAAAATACCTTTAATGGCTTCACCATGCAAAATAGCTAAGGGATAGATCTGCCTTTAGTAGCAGGGATATTACCTTCAATGGCAATGTATAATTGTTGATATATAGACCTGCCTTCAATAGCAGGAAAGCTATAAATGTCACATGCTAGTTTATAATACAAAACTTTACCCATTTATATCAGTCGCCAGTGAGTAAACTTGCATAGACGAACACAAGTATGCTCACTTTTATGAGGCATAATTGTTAACATTTTTCCTATACATGTACATGTAAATAGAAAAGCAAGATCAGTACACAGTGTAAATCTGTCAAGGTTTGCTCCCAAGTACATGTATTAGATACTGTACTAGAATTATTCAAATCAATATATTAAAAATCAAGTGAGAAATTCAAAATCCATTTGTTCCCTTCCTAGAGCTGCAAGAAAAGTATCCTGATAAAAACAAAAACGCTACAATAAAAACTGAAGCAATAGCCTAGGACATATTATGAAAGACAAGCTCATGTTCAAGCATAATAGACAAGTTCAAGTACAGTAAAATACAGTTAAGGTATTAGGACCCTAATGGGCACTATCAGGAACTAAAAAATTGACATCATAAGTCAGATGTATACCTTAAAGTACACCTGTATGCAAAATTTAAACAAAGTTTACCGTACGGAAATCAAGTTATGGCCACTTTTCTGAATTCAAGCTAGGATGTTATGAGGGCCCTTTTTTTTTTTAGAAAGTACGAACCTTTAAATAATCTGCAATAACATTCTAATGAAAAATGTTTTCCCATTAATTTTTGGTAAGAAACAAATAGTACCATTCAGCTAACAATCCAAATAAGCAAAATTATGGTTTCTACTTAAAATTTATGAAATCTGTATAAAAATGTTACCCTACCCCACCCATGGTCAGACACGTGGAAAAAAATGGGTGGGGTAGGGTAACATTTTTATACAGATTTCATAAATTTTAAGTAGAAACCATATTTTTGCTTATTTAGATTGTTAGCTGAATGGTACTATTTGTTGCTTACCAAAAATTCTACTTAGGGAGCCTAATTTAAAAAATTCTTCAAATTTACCCAAATGAGTGCCTGTTTTCAAAGTTTCCCTAAATTTTTAAAAAAGTATATTGGTTGATCTTGTAAAATATGAAATACTTTTACCGTCTAGTTTTGATTATATTACACTTTGAAAATATCAGGTACCATATTTATTACTATATTTAGCATAATTTAGCCAATAAATACCTATATAAATTAAAAAATCAAAATTAAACACTTTTTTCTTTCCAAATGGGACATGAGAGATACATAAATAATGTTAAAAGAAAAAAAGAAAGAAAAAAAAGTTGACCCTTCTGGGGATTGAACCCATGGCCCTCATTTTCAATGTAGTTAACAGTAGTTCTAGCCTATTTGAATACTCTTCAAAGCGGAGGTAATGCATTAGGGTGCTAATACCTTAAATGATAACAGCAGCACAAATATTCATAATAAGTGAGATTAATTATATACAAATTTATAACCATGCTTCTCAAACAATATAAGTTTTTTTTTCCAAACAATATAAGTTTTTTTTCACATTACAGGATTTTTCACATTTGATTTTAGTTGTGTAAATATTTTTAAAGACAACTTAATGTCTTAGAGAAGTTCAAACTAAAACTTTCAAATCATGCCTATAGCTTTCGTCACTGCTGATATTTTTACAGAGTGTAATATCCTTATTTAGCTCAAACTTTCGAAACTAACAATTCCATTGGTAGTAAATGTAGCTTAAACCCAATTAAACCGGTATACCGAAATTTTGCAAATACGTCATGGAATCGACAATAGACAAGAAAAAAAATTAATCTGCCATGCAACTGTGTTGATTATTAAATGAGTTTTATTTTACATAAAGAGAATATTTCACCCGTCGTGTGCAATTATTCATTTATTTCCGCACAAGAAACCATCACTTCCTTGTAGAGATTGGACATGTCATTTCACCGAAACAATTTTAAGTGGGCTATTGTTTTTGGTTTTAGTTTTCCACATTACATTTCCATATTATTGTTTTTACAGTGGACTACTGTTGATAAACCCTAATAATCTACACGTTTAATAAATTTATAATATATCCATATATATCCTCCGTAGTTCATAGCGAGCTCGACGAGCTGGCCCGAAGGGCCTGCTCGCAAAGCGAGCTTTACGGTAACGCGAGTACCTGCTAAATGATGGTTTTGAAAACTTTCGTCCAAAGTACCAAATTGGACACATCGCAACCTTTCGAATTTAAGGATAACGGTAAAAACTGAGGAATTCTGACTGAAAACGGATGTGTAGACGGTCACCCGCGCACGTCTATGGGAACCATAATTGGACAGGGAACCAGAATAACGGAAGCTGTGTATAAAAAATGAAAATCGAAGGCGCCATTTTGTTTGAAATCTGATAAATAAAAACAATTTTTTGTCGAATTTTGTTGTGAAAACTATCTAGAATGAAAGAAAATGGTCTAACTAAGAAAATGAATCCGAACACCAATATCTTTTATTCAGTCGTTAACGCTGTACAGACGTTTAAAGTATTGTTTACGTGACGTCACAATGTAGCGCCAAACAGCACGTGAAAAACAAACAAATCAAGTACGCTATTTTAATGTCGCAAACGTTTTAAGTTTTAAATTTATTTCACTTTAAATAATCATTATTTCGCTTGAAAAATTATAGAGTGAAATAAAATAAACAAAGTTTATCAACGTTTTCAAAACTCGTTATTCATTTCACGACAGGGGCGGAGCTATATTTAACACAGTACGTCGTGTGACGTCACACGCACTAGTTACTGCATTTGAAATAAAAATGAGCGATTATTTCATACTATTTCACGTAAAAATTACATCGAGCTCGCTTTGAGGCTTTGCCTTTTTCATATTAAAATGTGTGTATATAATGATTTATTATCCCAAATGTAGTGGTATCATGTTTTTGTATTGTAAATGTGTAAATTGGGATATATAATGGAGAAAACTTAAAACTAAGATTCGGAATAAAAGAGCGTCGTTCATTTTGAGACTTTGTCATTTGTCATATGCAACGAGTATCACAACATATTTAACTATATTTGTCCTAATTATAAAACAGTTTGAAAAAAATACACATGAAAACACTCTATCTCACATATTCCATCACTTTTAAATTTGAACAACAGTTGCTATTAACTTAACTTTGTTTCTTTTATAATTGATATTGATCCTCAAATAGGAAAATGCTGTCTTCTTTATTTAAAGTAATGACATATGGAACTAACAATATATGAATGTATCCATAAGTATACAAAAATTGTACATGTTTGTAATCATTTATTGATCGTTTGTCAGTTCATTTATTTTTCTATCCTGTTTTGGTTTGTTATGTACATTTTCTTATTAATTTAATGATTCTTTATCATATGTGTGACCTGTACAATGAATACAGTTATACCCAATTTGTATTATATATCAAAAACATGTTATAGTGTATGAGATTTGTGTTTTAAAAGGTTTAATATGATAAGCGTTTTGGTGAACGAAAAACAAAGATGTTTATATGTTGGTCACAAGAAGTAATATTAAATATTTAACCGATATAATTATGAATTTTGATCAAGGAAGAATCAATGAAACGTGAAAAGTGTTACCTAAATGCGCTTGATTTTTATTCGTATCTCAAAACAAGGAGTGACTGACTATGCATGCGTAATCGTGCATGTATGATTGTAATCGGACTTATTTTTATTGACTCTAATCACTTTTTTAGTTTTTAATAACATTTTTGATCCGGTACATACCAAAGGACTTGGTGTAAAGGAGTAATAATTACTATTTATAAAAAGGACGATTAATCTAATCACAGGGGAATAAGGTTAATTAATGTAATGGCAAATCTTCAAAGTATAATAAATAAATATTTCGAATCAAATGATGTTTTCAGCGCTTCAGATGTACACATAGTGCTAGTGATTGCATAAACTGATTGAAAGTATATTTCACATAAGAAATCTAAATCGCATCGCGATTTTATTTTTACTTGCAGATAAAATCGGAACGAGGATACTGAAATGGCGTTTATCAGACCATAGGGAAATGAAGAACATCAAGTTTCATCAAAATATACTCGGGGGTGTTATGGACTTACGTTACTTCAAAACGTGTTGTTGGTTGAAATATTACAAAAACAACTCAGCATGGATGTTTTTTTGAAATAAGAAAATACTGTTTATGAAGTACAATCAAAGCTTGAATTATTTAGATATGGTCCTAAATAGGTTTGAATAGGTATTTCATAAGAAAAAATAACTAGCAATGCTGTAAAAAAATTGCCCAGGGCCATGTTTTTGCATCTTCCCAGGGATAGAAAAGCGCAATTTGAAATTAAAGCTCGCAAAGAAAAAACTATATGAAGCAAAAATATATTCA